GAGAGAGAGAGAGAGAGAGAGAGAGAGAGAGAAGGGCCTGTAGCAAGGAGGACATATCTCTATACTCCATAAGAAAGAGGATAGCCCTGGGGTATAAGTGATAAATGAAAAGTTCTACTCTTACATTCGGCTTTCCGGAAGCGAAACTATACATCAAAATAATCTTACTAAGCTGCACATCATTTAAATTGGATAAAACTTAGTTTCTCATAAAAATTCACTGGAAACTTTTATTTATTTTTATATATTACTATAAATGCCTATCCAACCCTTTGCTACCACAAATTCTGCTATTGCCAAATACTGGTATCACACACTTCTCAAAAATTAACACCCTGTGCTAATATACCCCCAAGTTTGCTAACATGTACAAAAGTAAGTGCAACATTTGTTTCAGCATTATGCAGGCTGTGCATTTGGAATTACTTTGATTTTGATTGGCAGATTTTAGTTAAAAGAGGCAAAAAACAAAGAAAGATTTTGATATGCTGAGAAAAGTGATTGACTTATGTGAAATGAAGAGAAGTGTTACAAAAAATTCTCAAGTGAATTAATCTACAAGATAGAAATTTTCAAAAATAGTGAATTGTGAAACATATGAACAGATGGAAGTAGTGACAAGCCAGGTGCATGCCATCAAGATCCATGATGGCCATTAAACAAACCTGTTAACACTCATGTTTTTGTTTAACCCAAAGTATTGGATTAGGCAATCAGGACGCATGATAAGATATTATTATAATTACCAAAAGTGACAAAAAAATTCACTCTTTTATATATGACAATGAAGTGTTCCAAAGCACAAACTGCCATCACAATATATTAACGAAAAAAAAATTATTTTCATTTTTGGGTTCATTAAGCTGAATGCTACCAGTCTTATACATACCTTGGTTCAACCCTAAAGTAACAGTAATTTATTTTTTGAAGGTTTACAATAAATCCATCATTTATATTGTTTTATATTTCCTTTTTTTCTTTTTTTTTTTCTTTAGGCAATACCTTTTTTTTCTTGAACAGCAGACCCACTGACATTTATTTCCTGAAAAATTAAAAAGTGAAAATCCTATTTATTTATTTATCTATTTATTTTCATTTACCGCTGATTAAAAAAAACAAAGAAAATAAATACAAATCAATTTATCCAATTCAATGTGTATGCTATCGTTTCTCCCTTCCCCAAATCAAAAATAAAACATATATGCACAGAGAACCTGCACATTAAGATGGAAACACATTCAAACCTCAAAACATAAATGCTTGTTTTCTTGTTTTTATATTGAATTCCATTTCATATCCAGAAAGGAAGAGTCCTTTTCCTACCTGTACAAAACGGCAAAGTACGTTTTTTTTTTTTTTTTTTTTTTTTTTTTTTTTTAAGAATATTTTTGATTTTGAGTTCCAAAATACTAAATTCTGGTTGAAAGAATTCTTTCGTCTGTTTTCATTCAACTCCTTGAAGACTTCTAGTAACACAAAATTGTACTTCCTCTAGGTGAAGCTGGAACTGATACATTCCTTTACTTCTGATCTTTGGCTGGTAGGAGGTAAACTTTTCATAATCATCAGATTTGCTCGCTAATCAAGAAAAAAAATTGCCGTGGCGTTATGTTCTACAGAAAAAATGTATAAAAATAATAATAATAATAATGATTAAAAAAACACTATAATGTTTTCCATTCTCCATTTGTTATTTGTAATATTTCTAAGGATATTTCTTGTGAGGCAGTATTTAGGGGAAAATATTAAAAATACATGTGGGTAGACATCGCTGCAGGTGTTTAAACAATTACATGCAATAGCAGAGGGTTATGTGTACTGTGAATAATAATAATAATAATAATATAAAAATCCACATATAATACAAATATAATACAAATACACACTCATTAAATAAGAAATGTACTTAATGCAAACAGTATATAAACGAGTACACACAAGGATGAAATACAAAAAACTATGTATATTTGCATATATGAATGCATCCAAGGTGTAATTGTTTACACACTCCACTTTATAGACTTGATATTGCAGGGTACTTCATAAAATTACAAGTAGCTTTGTAACCATAAAAAGAAAAAGAAAAGAGGAAATAAAATGCATCAATATATAAACATCTACACATGTGTGTGGTGTGTGTGTGAGTAGTGTGTGTGTGTGTTATATCCACATCTTCCAACAGATCTACTAGCACAAATTCTATATGAAAATAGTGTACTTTAGTTAAAACTAAATACATACACACATGACTATAATCTGTTAGTTGTAGGGTAAATAGTAAAGAACACCAACTTTTCCTTCAATATTCAATTAAAAACCTTAGAATGATAATATATAGAATAACTAAATGTGTATACAAATGGTCTACACATAATTCAACTAAATAAGCAAGAAATGAATGCAAGATCAAAATCACACGATACTAAAGGCTGTGTATGCCAAGTATGTTCTTTTACATTTATCTAGCTAATTTGCAATGCCAGAATTAAAAATGAAAAAATGTAGTCTTTAACCTATTGGGTCCAGATACTTTACTGTCACCATGTGGCCCAAAATACTGGTATCAGGCTTACTTGAGCAGCTACTCTACCGGGTGTGTGGCTTGTGTGGTGGCAAGACTTCCTGCCTCCCCTTTACAAAGTAATTTTTTCTTTTTCTGCATAAGCATTTTGAGCTCTTTTGCAATTTGAGAATGTCTATATTTGTAATTTGATTTGCCTTTTGCAGATGATAATAAGACACAGATTCCATATCATCTCTCTAGGTTGCCCATAAATCAGTGCAATAATAACAAGAAACAATGTCTTTTTTTTTTTTTTTTTCCAACTTGTGCCACTGGTCACGGCAGGCAGGAATAGGATCCTGAGCACAGAAATAGTGTCCTCCCTTGAGTCGGTGCTCACAGATGGTACATTTCTCACTAGTTTATTGATGGATATAATGCAAAAGTCCCTTATTAAATGCTCATTGAGTCTTATCACCCTTAAACAGCTTTGTGCCCTTGTGGCAAGTCATTCCTATCCCCCTAGTTTTCAGCCAAAATTCTCTTGACAGAGAGTCCTCAGCCAAATTTTCACATGACAGTATATTCATGTCACCTACCCCTTAAGGGGACCGTCCCTGAGAATGGCCACCTTTCCTACTATACATCATAAAAAATATCGGTTAGAGATAACTGATTGATTCTTTTTGCATGCTATAGAGCAAAGAATTGCGCTTCGTTATATATATAAATTTTAACTTTGCTCCCCATTGGGGGGGGGCACCCCCAAAAAGTTGAAAAAAATCGCTATTTTTTTTGGTATGTCTTCGGTACATCCCAACTATCAGAGCTCTTTACAGAATATTCCCCCAAAAATGCTAGTGTTAGATCAACTCTAGCCTATAGCCATGTAAAAGGCCGAATTTTGAATTTCCTTTTTTTTTTGGCGGGGGACAGCTTGACATAGAGAACTATTTTTGAATGCGTTTTTCAGCATTAAAATATTATTATTTTTTGATTAAGGCAAAAATTCAAAAATCGGCCTTTTACATGGCTATGGGACGCCGAGGCTCTAGTGAAAGCAACAAACTGCATTTGGATCGCATGAAAATTACGTGAGTTGGGAAGTACCGAAGATTCATAAAAAAATAGCCGAGCTACGGCGTTTTGTATTTGGCACCTTGCCAAAGTTCGTTATCTCTGTTATTTTTCTCTGAATCTAATGATATTATATATCAAAAAAACGCTTATTTAGTGTACTTTGCAATGCAATGATTACCAAGTCAATAGGAATTTTCATGTTCAATAGGGACGCTATTCTGTAAAGGTATGTCACTTTTTTTTTTTTTTTTTTTTCGTTGTTCATTAAAGTTGATATTTTCGTGTGAAAAGCTTAATAAATGCATTTTACCATAGAGACAACTAATCTAAACCAGATAAAAACCTTTTTTTAAAAAAATATTTTTTTTTATTTTCCATTTTTTTTTTTATTTTTTTTTATTTTTGAAGAAATGGGGAACTGTGGATGGCAACATTAGTACAAAATCATTCTAATTATAAAGTCCTGGCATGAATACAACATGGTGGTTCAATTTTGAGAATTTCAAAAGCATATGAATTTAGTACATTGAATTCGAGAACTTACGAAAGTCGTTGAATATTCCCCATGCCTCACACAGGGGGGGGGGAGGGGGAGATGGTCACTGGGTGTTTATAATTTTCGAGGAGGATCATATGTACGTGAACGCACGCACATAAAGTTAAAAAGATTAATCATCATCATTTAGTAGGCCTACATTGACTTTCATATCTAAATAATAAAATTTATTAGTTATCCCTCTCATACCCATTTTCTTTGATAATTGTCAATATTAACAGATTGCAAGGGAGAACAAGTGTAAAGTTTATGATTAGCCATTTGCACCCATTATCTTTACTAAGAAGTGCATAAAATCATGCAGACGCCTATGTGTTGTGGGATATTTGCCAATTTATGGTGCCTAAGACTTACGGTAACGTCTAAACATATTCATTTTTATCGGGAACGCACGAAACGGATGCGATAGCTTTTTGAACGCCAGACGAAGACTACGCATACAACCGAGCTCAAAATTCCATATAGTTTTTATTTCAGAGCAGGTATTACTGAGTACTATCATCTTCAACATGAAATAATCTGTATCTCGCTTATACATCCGAAGTTTAAAAATCCGACATTTAGGTAACATTCGTATTGAATTGGTCTTTACAACGGTAACTACCAATTTCAAATCAATTCAAATTGCCCCCTGCTGTGATGTACCGACCGTTGAGCGAAATGTAACGGAAATATTTCAATCCTTCCTTATAAGGCTATTTTTAAACATTAGTGCTTCGTATGTGATATACGTATATATTACCACGTAAACTAAAACATATTACCAGGGAGTCTCGATCAAAGCATATTTCGTGTGTAAAAGGACACAAAACATACATTTTTTTTTAGATATATTTCACAAAATATTTCGTCATAAATCACGGTGATATAATTTTTTCCTGATATTGGTATAAAAGTGTTCCTTGAACATTCACGAACTCATATCTATGCGCAATGTCATAATTAAATGCCTTATGCACGATTGCCGCAAGCAAAAGTCCACATAGGTGTACCTGGGCGCTCATAGCGACGTACCTCTCCGGGTGCTGAGGGACTCGCACGCCGGCTGCAAGACAACGAGCCATAGCAGGCGGTTAATACTCGTTTGGTAGTTTCCTCATCCATGTACCTATACTATACGCTAACTATCTTAATTTAACCCCCTCCTCCCCCCTCTCTCAGGGACGGTCCCTTAAGCCAAATTTTTCATGAGCTGATGGTCATGCCATCCAGATTGTTAGGGTTATTATCAAAAATGGCAATCTGAAGTGTGATGTCATTCCAAACTCAATGTTGACTGGAACATGTAATTTTACTGTCAAGTTCTTCGACATTCAGGAATCAGTAGACCTCATGACCTCGCCTGATTTCCCCCACATTTGGGGATTTTTATCATCATTAACATTATAATCATTATAATGTTAAACAAAATATCAAAAAATTGTTTTAAAATATCAAAAAAAGCATAAACAAAAGAGATAGGTAGTACTAACTTAATCCTTGATAACTACGCACTTGCGGAGCTGTCTATATAGCTCTTACCCAATTGTGATGAGTGATGTCCTATCATGTGAAAAATCCCAGAAACTGGGTGATGCCTAATCATGTCATGCATAAGGCCATTTCCTGGTAGCCAGAATAATGACTTGTGAGCTGGACACTCATCCCAGTGTGGAGCTGCATGCATTAATGAACCATGGTCTAAACATTACTGGAAATTTCACCCATCATGCATAGATTAATCAAAGGAGGAGGAGGAAAAAACATGGCTTTCTATTTTCATAATCAATCAATTTAAAATTACCTTAATAATTACTACCTTTTCAACTTCCAAATAACAAGATCCTATTCCCTTCTCTGCTAAATCCTGTATGTATTTCAATCTATCTATCTCCAGTATCCATAACTCTTTATCTATTCACACCTATCTACATAAAACCAGGGTTTTCAACCTAACATCAAGGGTTATCAGGGGAAATATATACAAGACACATCTCATGGTATCTAGCAACTCTTGAAACAAAAAAATAAATGAAAATATCCAGTATGGCTGACATTCTTAGTACTATGATTGTATCTTATGCAATGATAATCTTTATACTAGAGATGGAATGACTGTATTTTCTGCATTTGTAAAGCTGAAAGCAAATTTTTTTGCTTAAATATTCACAAATGCAAATCTCAAATATTCTAATCTAAACCATTTTCCACAGTTCAGGTACTATCACTGCATAATTTCTAAATGCTACAGCTGAATTGTATAAATATCTACAGCAAGGAGATACAATACTTCAAGGGAACTTGGTTACAGTAAGAGATGCAAGTACGTGTCTCCTTCTTACGCCTCATGACACAGTCACAGAGTTGTGAAAGTTGGCTGTAAACATAAGGCCCACAAGGGGCTGGAGGGACAGGGTTGCAGCTTCACTCAATTGGTCATCTCTCATGCAAATTATATTCATTTCTTCATTTTTTCTAGTTTTGGAAAATATTTGAACATTTGCAAAAACAAAAAACTTGTATTGGAAAAGTGACTGCAAATACAAAAAAACATGGTGAATATTCACAGCTGTAAATGCAAAAGTGAATATTCTGTTCATCTCTACTTTATACCATAATACATGTCAGTATTGTAGGTCAAGTATGAAGCGGTGGTGCATATATGCTAATTCAATCATAACAATATATATAATGAAATTATTTCACCACCTTATCATCTCTTAACACAGGCCTATCAATTCCATGCATTAAAAATAAATAAAATAGACAATGTGCAAAATATCTAAAGCAGACCTATCAATTCCATGTGCAAAATAAAATTCATATTACTCTGAATTCATACATGGTTAGTATTCTCTGCATATGGAGGAAGAAGAAAAACTTGTTTTCTATGAAGCTACATGGTGAAGCAGGTATAACCTACTAGGCTATCATTTATGTAATAATATAAAACAAATTTATGTACACTGTGGTTCCTTTAAGTTTTGCTATTCAGTTCTCAATTATTTTAGCTTTATTTCAGGTTAGATGGATAACAATAAATGCTCAAGGAATATGTGGCGAGACAAAGATTGAAAACCCCAGACAAAAGCTCAGTATAAATTATTCAAGAGCTCTACTACACTACAAAAATCATCTCAGCCAAATACAGATATAGATACAACAGGATGGACAAGCAATACATACCGCTAAGGCTGTTCTCCCATTTCTCACAATGAAATACAGTGACTGCTCATCTTCAGCCATGACCTCAGTAATAGGCTTTCTGCCAGGCCTTCCTCTCTTGCGTGGAGGCTCTCCAACAATCTGATCTCCAATCTTTTTAATGGTAGCTGTGAGGAAAAAGGAAATGTTCAAATGCCTTTCTCATGCTATCACTGCTCTTTCCCTTGCCTGAATTAGGTATATTCTTGACTTTTCAAATTATTTCAAAAGATATAGTACAAAAATGTACTTAGAAATCTGTAAGTACTAAATCTAAAGGTATATTTCAAACAATATGCATCGAGTACTCATATTCAACTTCATAGAGTAATATAGCATTAAATCATTTGCACAGCAATATAACACGGCTTTCTGTAGTGTATGATAGAAGGAAATCTATTTATTTAATGGAGTTGTAAAAAAACATCACTTAACATGTGAAATCTTGTATCCTCCAACTGCCATTCTATAAAATTAGTATGCAAGCTCACATACTTATATCAGATATGTACTTAAATTACATATTCCATGTCCAAGCTATTTTATAAATTTACACACAGAAAGGGCATTCCAATTGTACCTATTTCTTTGTACTGAATCAAAATAAACTCACATGTCAAAATCTAAAAAAATAAGAACTATTAAATATCACACATAATCCACATGTCCACAAACAATTTTCTTTTTTTATCATTGCATAAAACAATAAACGCTTAAAGTGACTCAGGACCCACCAATTCTGCCTCTTCCACGACCTCTGCCTCTCCCTCGGATGGAAATTGTCAACCTGGGGATTGGCTCATAATTCTGGGCTGGCTGCTGGTCCTCTTCTTCATGGGCATCTATGTCAGACTCTGCATCATGGTCCATGTCCTCATCCTGCTCTTCAGGCTCCATTTCTGGCTCTGGCTCTGGCTCCGGCTCCACATGTGCCTATGGTATGAAATTCTAATGAACGATCTTTATAATCATTTTCTCTAAGTACCTGATCTTACACTCTGGGCTAAATTGAATGGGAAAAGGTAATAACTGTAGGACCTGCATAAGGGCTATGCATTAATTATCTGGTAATTTCCCTTGTATAGAAAGGCCTCTACCTAGCTCTCTATCATATACAAGTTCTATAGACACACTTCATATACCCACCCCCACCCCCACACACGTATGCACATTGCTATGTACATATATGTACATGTGTGTGTGTTTGCGTGCGCTTATCACATACATGCTTGTAATCATTGTTTATTCAATTGCATCCTGTGTAATTCAACATCAAACCAATAAATTTGCATTATGTATCTGCATTTTCATACAAAGTGCTAATGCCCAAAATCTGTGATACAGTGAACATAATGAAAATCTCTTGTGGCTCTATTAATAAGTGATATGGTTTTAAAGAAACCAAAGAAATAAAACAAACTTTTTAATTATTCTCAGTCCTTTTAAAAATGTACTATTTACTGTATTTTAATACTGCCTTATCAGAAAAAATGGCAACTTTCAAAACAGCAAATCATATTTTCCTACCTTCTGGACAAGGTCCATTGCATACTGAAGAAAAATATTCAGATCTTAAAATATGCCTATCATACAGAAAACAAACCTATGATTACTAAGAGAAAGTTAACTGAAACCATCAAGACTTGTAATATGACAAGTGTTTCCACTTACCACCACAAATCAAAAAATATTAACATGTAAAAATAGAGGTGCCATCCTAGTACTGTCATCTATACTCCTGACCTCTAATGATGGTAAAATAAAACTTTCTCAAAAACTGACAAGGAGATATTCATGACAGCATGATCACTGGTCAAAATGCATTAATAAAAAGGATGTCCTTCATGAAGTCCAATACTAAATAATGAGGGCTAAACAGTGTACTACCTGAGGAGTATGTTGCTGCTGATAATGAGGTGTTGGAGTCTGGGGGGGCTGTTGTTCATACATGTTTTGATAAACATTTTGCTGCTGCTGTTGCTGGTAGGCTTGTTGTTGTTGTTGTTGTTGTTGCTGCTGCTGCTGCTGTTGCTGATCGTATTCCTGGTGACCATAAATATGCTGCTGCTGAGGTGTCTGTGGGGGTTGGTGATGGACTGGCTGATCATAGGACTGGTTGTAGCCCATCTGGTAATCAGGG